CTCTCTCTTTCACTCTCCCTCTCTCTCCTTATCCCCCTGACATCCCCTTGGGAGACAGGGGGGGCGATGGGACCCGATTGGGAGGGGGAGGTGAGCTCAGACAGGGGGGGAAGTCCCGCTCTGGTGTGGGGGGGGAGGTGGGCTCAGACTGAGGGGAAGATGAGACCTGGTTGGGAGGGGGAGGTGAGCTCAGTCAAGGGGAGAAGTCCCGCTCTGGTGTGGGGGGAGGGTGGACCAAGGACGGGGGGGAAGATGAGCCATGGTTGGGGGGGAAGGTGAGCTTAGACAGGGGGGGAAGTCCCGCTCTGGTGGCCTCAGGCAGGGTGGGGGGGGGGGAGGGTTGAGCTCTGGTATGGGGGGATGGTGGGTTTAGGCAGGGGGGGAAGCTGAGCTCTGGTTTGGGGGGAAGCTGTTCTCGGTTATGGGGGGAAGCTGAGCTCTGGTTTGGGGGGAAGGCGAGCTCTGGGCATAGTGCGCGCATTGGCGGCGGAGTGCATGGGCATCGGGCTGGTTTCAGAATAGCGAAGGCCACGGCGCATCGTTAGCATGGGCACTGCGAAGGCGTTGGCGCGGGCACGCATGGGCATGTGGAAAGCACGGGGAACGCAGTCCCGCCGCAACAAGATGCAGAGCGCACCTTGATTCGGATGGGCTGACGTGGGTGGCGTTGAGGTCCCGCTGTGCGCCGCGTGACTAAGAGTTCCCCGGCGCTGCTTGTGCGCGATGCTGGCCCGCGAGGTGTGAAAGACGGCCGCGACGAACAGGCCCGCTTCGTAGGTGGGCCTCTGTAGCCCTTAGTTGGGTGCCTGGCTATGGCTCCTATTTTGTTGCGAACGGTGGTTGTCGGCGTGAAAGGTTGCGATTGTCTCGCAGGCACCCTAGGAGAGGTGGCGCTTCGCGCGTTTTCGAAAAGAGCCCCCACCCCCCCCCCCCTCGTTACGCTTTCTCGGCGTGGCGGGATAGAGTTGAGTGTGTTCGGGTGGGGAATGTGGAATAGGTTTGCTGGAATGCCGCTCCAAAGCGCGTGCTTTTGGGGTGCTGAATTGAAAGCGCGAGCTTTAGAGCTATGTATCCTCGTTCACGCTGGGCTGGGTGGGGTTGGTTTTGGGGCTGGAGGGGATATTCGTACGTTCCCCATGTTTCCCTGTCCCTTGATCCTCTGTCTGTCCAATGTTTAGGGCGCGGGACCTCCAAATCGTGATTCCGAATTAAAGCCGTTGACCCAAATTGCAGAAATTGCCTTTCAAGTTTATTAAAGCGAGAGGCTAGAATAGTGACCCCCTTTTCAAGTTGGACCCAACTCGAAATAGTTCAGCTCAAGAGAGTGCTGGTTGGAAACTTGCGAGACAGTTTTTTGTTACGGGCCAGTTTGTGTTTGTGCGATAGTTGGCGACAAATTACGAGTGAACATTTTGCATGATTGTCGCAAATCACAAGCCATCCCGCTACTTTGTGAAAGACAAGCTGAAGACCTTGATTTTGAGAGCCTAAGGCACGCATTTCCCCCTCAAGTGTCACTTCAAAGTACCAGCAAAATAAAACGTTGCGAGTGAAATACAGAGTGCAAAATACCAAAACCACGACACAGAGAGAGACTCGCGGCGATAGGTGCGGAGAGCGGGAGAATGACGGTAAGGAAGAAGTGTTCAGAGCGGGAGCGCGAGATGGAAAGCCCTGGCGAAATCGAAGGAGAGGGGCGGAGATAGAGAGCAAGATGCTCGGAGAGAGAGAGGAAGAGGCGCGGAGAGAGAGAGGAAGAGGCGCGGAGAGAGAGAGAGAGGAAGAGGCGATGCTCTCTCGTTGCGCTGCTCTCTCTCCCATCGCGCTACTTTCTCTCTCTCCCGCCGCGATATTCTCTGTCTCTCTACCATCTCACCACGCTGCTCTCTCTCTCTCATCGCACTACTTTCTCTATCTCCCGCCGCACTACTCTCTCTCTCTCTCTCTCTCTCTCTCTCTTGCCTCGCTACTCTCTTTCTCCCTTCTCGCTACTCTCTCTCTCTCTCTCTCCCATCACGCTACTCTGTCTCACTCCCATCTCGCTACTCTCTCTCGCTCACACATCGCGCTACTCTCTCTCTCTCTCTCCCACCGCGCTACTCTGTCTCACTCCCATCTTGCTATTCTCTCTCTCTCACACATCGCGCTACTTACACTCTCTCTCCCATCGCGCTACTCTGTCTCACTCCCATCGCGCTACTCTCTCTCTCGCCCGCCGCGCTACTCCTTCTCTCTCTCCCATCGCGCTACTCTCTCTCTCTCTCTCTCTCTCTCTCTCTCTCTCTCTCTCTCTCTCTCTCTCTCTCTCTCTCTCTCTCTCTCTCTCTCTCTCTCTCTCTCCCGCAAATAGGTACTCTGTCTCTCCCCCATCTTGCTACGCTGCTCTCTCCCATCGCGTTGCTCTCTCTCTCTCTCTCTCTCTCTCTCTCTCTCTCTCTCTCTCTCTCTCTCTCTCTCTCTCTCTCTCTCTCTCTCTCTCCCGCCGCGTATCTATCTCTCTTTCCCTCCCGCCGCGCCACTCTCTCCCTATATCGTTGCGGCACATTTTCCTCACTTTTCCTAGGCACTAAGGCGGAAAAAACAGGGGGTCAACTAGCCAGGAAATGAACTTTCGCGTAGGAAATGGATAAGTGCTCTTTGCAGCAATTATGAATCCAGGCCCAACTTGAAATCCGAGTTGGGCCCAACTGGATCCGAAAGACTCAACCCGTCGCATGCATTTGCCATGCCAGAATCGCACAGGGAAGCGCTAACCCTGACAAGCATTTCGTGTCAGAAATACAGCTTTAGCACGTCGCGAGTTTCGTCTCGCGACGATCATGTTGGCGGGATCCAATCAGCTTTGAGATCAAACTTCATTTTTCCAACCCGCGTCACTTTGGAACAGTAATTTGTCAGCCGAGGTTTCCAAGAGAAGTCACAGGGGGGAGTCCTCTTTCAAGTTGGGCCAGCCTTCACTATTTTACCTTCTCGCTTTAAAGCGAGGGTCCCAAGAAGCAGAAAACCAAATCCAAAGGTTTTGGTTTTGGGTTGACGAACTTTGCGAAACAGTTACAGCGCCCAACCAGCACCCCTTACCACACCTCGCAATTTTCGAGACCCCCCGATACCAAAACCTTTGGGTTTGGTTTTTTGCTTCTTGAGACCCTCGCTTTAATATTGAAACCCCCCGATTGGTAACCCAGTTCCCCGGAGCGAGAGCAAAAACGAAAGTTGCGCAACAAAACGACGCGAAACAATCTGTAATCTTGCGCCACCCCCAGCTGATTATGTCCCTGCCCCCGCCACACCAGGCGTTTGAGCGGTAAGAAACTTGAACTTCCCCCCCATACATTTTGGGACTTTTTGGAGTGCAAACCCAGCCTAGCGTCATTACGCCCTAGGCAGCGAAAACACCATGCACAGCACACGCAAGTTTTTATTAGGGCGCGATACAAATCGTTTCAAGTGAGGTACGCGAATTGAACTCGAAAAAAAAAAAAAAAAAAAAAAAAAAAAAACTGATTGAGCCTATTTGATCGCGTTGAAAATAGTCTAAACGTCTACAACCGCATCGGCTGTTCGAATTTAAGTTTGAAGACATACTCGTGATATAAGGTGTACCACGCCCTGATATGCGCAAGTCGAGTTGCTTGGCAATTCCAAGCGAGTTGCGCAACTCGGCCATGATGCGCAACCCAGAGTCACGTGCCCTTCCTTCCCGCTGTTTCCAGTGTTCCACGCTGTGCCGTGCGCCGCCCTGACCAGGTATTCTTCCCCCACTCCCCCCCTGCGACTTGCACGCGCCCCCGCTTTCCTTTTCCCCACCCTCGATTTCCCCCAGTCGTTGTTTGCAAACGTTTTGGTTCTGTCAAAATTTGTATGCTCGTTCTGATTGGTTTTCGTAGTGTGTTGTGTTCGCCCACTCTCGCCACCCTCACACCACTCCTCCACACCCGTGTCCTTTCTCCAGCTTAAATTTTTGCAGGTTCATCTTGATTAATCTTGTACGTTTTGGGTCAACGGCTTTAAGTCCGGACTTCAGTATGGTTACAAATTCCACAAATGTCGTCAAAAAACTTCGTGCGTCGTCAAAATTCTTCGCCATATTCATACTGAGGATGGAACATGGGGCACGAAAAGCGTCGTCCAGACGGGGACTGTGCCACTTACGAACCACTACCCTGGTTGCATGACTGGCGTCGCACGAAACGGTGATGCGAAATTTTGTACCCGGTGTTGGTTGTACGAAGAATTGAGCCCCGAGCTGTCGCGACACAAGACGAAGCTCGACAATGCATGTAACATGTCGTCACTTTCGCGAAAGGGTGTTCGAATTTCGAATGATGGAACATCGGGTGGGTTGGGCCTTTTCACCTAGGTAGTACAGACTTTTGGGCGGTGGTTCGGACTGCCAGAATCCGTGACGTCGTCCAGATTTTGGCATAACGTATCCGATGTCCCGCGCCCTTATGTGTGTGGTCATTTTTTGTGCATCCGCTCGTTTGATCGTCGTCTCCCTTTCATTCTACTGCTTCGCACTCGGTGATCGCGAGCACACCCTTGACTGGTTTGGGTCCAGGTTTTGTCAGTCTTCCATGCCTGCGACATCGCCAGAACTGGCGATGTCGTCCACCCGCTCGCGAGAGCCGCACCCTTCGCGTGGGCCGAGCGGGGGTTTTTTTGCGAGGGCTAACCCTTCGCAATTTTCGCCACCCCTCTTCAAGGTTCAAAACCCTTTTGAACCTTGAAGTTATTGTATACTTTTGCTTTAAGGTCTATCATTCATAAATTTGCATTTAATGATTATCAGTGTGGGCCTTGGGATCACGAGTGTATGGCTAGCGACGCACGAAACGTATGTAACCACGTTTCCTGGCAAACAGCCAAAACTTGCCCTGGAAAACGATTTTTTCGTTCGTCGCAGCCTGTCACAGCTTCAGCGAAGAGGGATGAAGCCCTCCCTCCAGTCAGGGATGAAGTCCCCCCCTCCACCCAGATCTCATCACACAGCAAACCTCCAACAAAGGGAACTCTTACAGGTCGGATTACCACCCTGATAGAAATCCAGTGGAGGCCTGAAATGACTGAGATCTAAGCTTGTCCAGTTGAATCCTTCAGCAGTCGGTCTTAGCTTAGGTCTGCCCAGTCGTCGATCTATCAAGGCGGCACAGCTTCTCTTTAATCTGCTGTGATTTTAGCGGCACAGGGCCTACAGGGCCGATCAGGGTCCCGAAATGTTGACTAAATTTGAGACTAAGAGCAATCGAGTCAAGGGGTTGTCTTTTCATCCCCGTCGGCCATGGATCCTGGCGAGTTTGCACAGCGGTGTGATTCAACTATGGGACTACCGGATGGGGACGCTGATTGACAGATTCGACGAGCATGATGGTCCCGTTCGCGGAGTCCATTTCCACAAGACTCAACCGCTTTTCGTTTCAGGAGGTGCGAATGTCAACCCTAATTTTCCACGTTTCTATGGCCTGCGTCTCCTTAGATTCCTCTTCGTTGTCAGTAAGCTGTATCTATAGATTCGCCGATGGATCCGTAGACTGGTCAAGGCGTTATTTAGCCGATGGTTCCTCTTACATAATCCATTGACGTCAATCCGTCCTAAAATTTTAAGCCTGCGTGTCGGCTCTAGTTCTCGTCATGCTGATGTCTTGGATAATCTTATGACTGTCGCAATCGTGGATCTGGTCAAACTTACTTTTTTTCTTTGATTTGTAGGAAACCACTGTCGGACCGAGTTCTTTAGTGTGGCTTTCATCGATTCAAATATGTCATATATTTGCGAGAAGAACCTGGGGCGTAGGCTAGTCTTTATAGCTTTTTATGGAACGATGACTTTAGACTGTCCTTGTACCACTGTACATGTGTCTTGTTTGTGAGGGGTATTGTCAGGATTTTCGATACATAGCAAGGCCTCTCTGTAAAATGCATTTCCAGCACTTCCTTGCCCTTGTCGCAGATCTGAACCTATTCTATGCGTCCGATTGTGCAAGACAGATTGCTTTCCGTTTCCCTGTTCATTGCTTGTTCAGTCGTGTGCACATTCACTAGCCAAACGTTGTCTTCGTGTGGCTAGCCTTACAATGCCTTTTCCACAGCGTCTTCTATCTCCGGCGCAACCTGATCTCTTGATCTTGTTTGCCTCTCCCTTACCTTCCAATCTCCGCAGGCGACGACTACAAGATTAAAGTGTGGAACTACAAGACCCGCCGGTGCCTCTTCACGCTGCTGGGCCACCTGGACTACATCCGCACCGTCCAATTCCACCAGGAGTACCCCTGGATCGTGAGCGCCAGCGACGACCAGACCATCCGCATCTGGAACTGGCAGTCGCGCAACTGCATCTCCGTGCTCACTGGCCACAACCACTACGTCATGTGCGCCGCTTTCCACCCCAAGGAGGATCTCGTGGTGTCCGCGTCGCTGGACCAGACCGTCCGCGTGTGGGACATCGGCGCGCTGCGCAAGAAGACGGTCGCGCCGTCGGAGGACGTGGTGCGGCTGCCGCAGATGAACTCCGATCTGTTCGGCGGCGGGGACGCGGTGGTGAAGCACGTGCTGGAGGGGCACGACCGCGGCGTCAACTGGGCGGCCTTCCACCCCTCGCTGCCGCTCATCGTCTCCGGCGCTGACGACCGCCAAGTGAAGCTCTGGCGCATGAACGGTGAGTCGGTCTCAGGAAGATTGGTACAGCGCCTTGTTTAGAGCACAGTCGCACTGCCGTTGAGTCACATCACATGGAGGAAACCGCACTGCTCTGCTGCCCTCTGAACCGTCTCTTCGCTGCGGCTCGCTGTCCCTTCATCCACGCCTCCATTTCTTTCGTTCGTCCCCCCGCCTGTGCAGACACGAAGGCGTGGGAGGTGGACACTCTGCGCGGGCACGTGAACAACGTGTCGTGCGTGCTCTTCCACGCGCGCCAGGACATCATCGTCTCCAACTCCGAGGACAAGAGCATCCGCGTGTGGGACATGTCCAAGCGCACCAGCGCGCAGTCCTTCCGGCGCGAGCACGACCGCTTCTGGATCCTCGCCGCGCACCCGGAAATGAACCTCCTGGCGGCGGGCCACGACAGCGGCATGATCGTCTTCAAGCTGGAGCGCGAGCGCCCCGCGTACGCCGTCCACGGCAACATCCTGTACTACGTCAAGGACCGCTACATCCGCACGTACGAGTTTGGCTCTGGCCGCGACAACCCTCTCATCTCCATCCGCCGCCCGGGGACCACGGGCAGCAACCAGGGCCCCCGCGCGCTGTCTTACAACCCGGCTGAGAATTCCGTGCTGATCTGCTCGGATGCTGATGGCGGCAGCTACGAGCTGTACACCGTTCCCAAGGACGTTGGCCGCGGTGGCGGCGCTGCTGAAGCCCCGGAGGCGAAGCGGGGCGCGGGCACGTCTGCGGTGTTTGTGGCGCGCAACCGCTTCGCCGTGCTGGACAAGAGCCACGACCAGATCGTGATCAAGAACCTGCGCAACGAGGTCACCAAGAAGTGCCCGCCGCCCGTCGCCTCCACGGACGCCATCTTTTACGCTGGCACCGGGTCACTGCTGTGCCGTTCCGACGACAAGGTGGTTCTGTTCGACGTGCAGCAGCGCGCGGCGATCGCTGAGCTGACGACTCCCTTTGTGAAGTACGTGGTGTGGTCGTCTGACATGAACCACGTGGCGCTGCTGTCCAAGCACGCCATCATCATCGCCAACAAGAGGCTCGCGCACCGCTGCACGGTCCACGAGACGATCCGCGTGAAGAGCGGAGGGTGGGACGACTCGGGCGTGTTCATCTACACGACGCTGAACCACCTCAAGTACTGCCTGCCCAACGGCGACAGCGGCATCATCCGTACCCTCGACGTCCCCGTGTACATCACCAAGGTGGAGGCAGGCGCTGTTTACTGCCTGGACCGCGACGGCAAGATGCGCGTGGTGCAGATAGACTCCACCGAGTACATGTTCAAGCTGGCACTGATCCAGCGCAAGTACGACCAGGTGCTCGCCATGATCCGCAGCTTCCAGCTGTGCGGCCAGAGCATCATCGCGTACCTGCAGCAGAAGGGCTTCCCGGACGTGGCCCTGCACTTCGTCAAGGACGAGCGCACGCGCTTCAACCTGGCTATTGAGTGCGGGAACATTGAGGTGGCGCTGGCGTCCGCGCACGAGATCGACCACAAGGACACGTGGTACCGCCTGGGCGTGGAGGCCCTGCGCCAGGGGAACCACCAGATTGTGGAGTTCTCGTACCAGAAGACCAAGAACTTTGAGCGCCTGTCGTTCCTGTACCTGATTACTGGGAACCTGGAGAAGCTGGGCAAGATGCTCAAGATCGCCGAGATGCGGAATGACGTCATGGGGCGCTTCCACAACGCGCTGTACCTGGGGGATGTGGAGGAGCGGGTGAAGATCCTGGAGGAGTCGGGGCACGCCCCGCTGGCGTACGTCACTGCGGCAGTGCACGGGTTAGAGGAGACTGCTGCTCGCTTGGCTGAGGAGCTGGGCGACCGCGTGCCTCCGCTCCCTGCTGACGGCACTACGAAGCTGCTGCTGCCGCCCACGCCCATCCTGCGCCAGGACAACTGGCCGCTGCTGAATGTTAGCAAGGGCATCATGTGGGACTTTGGGGATGCTGGCGCCGCTGCTGCTGCTGCTGCGGACGAGGAGGTGGGAGCGGGCTGGGGCGACGTGGATATTCCCGATGTGGGTGGGGAAGGAGAGGAGGGAGAGGGGGAGGAGGGCGAGGGAGAGAAGGAGGAGCGCGATGGGGAGGGAGAGGACGACGAGGACGGATGGGGAGGCATCGATGTGGACATTCCGGACGATGGGGGGGCAGGCGATGTGGGCTCCGCTGCAGATGCCAGCTTCTTCGTTGCGCCCAGCCCTGGCATCCCCGTCACGCAGAAGTGGGCCCAGAAGACGCCGCTCGCTGGAGAGCTTGCAGCAGCAGGCGCATTTGATGGCGCCATGCGCCAGCTCAGCCGCCAGCTGGGCATCAAGAACTTCGCTCCCCTGCGCCAGGGAATGCTGGACCTCGCCCTTGCTAGCCAGACCTCCCTCCCAGCCCTCCCCTCCGTCCCTGCCGTTGCCCTGGGGATGGAAGCCGGGTGGACGGAAAACTCTCCTCCGAATGTGTGGGCGCACCCGTCCATGGCGTTCCGCCTGAGTGCTCTGGACGAGAAGCTGAACGCTGCCTACAAGATGACCACGGAGGGCAAGTTCACGGATGCGCTGCGCCTGTTCTTGAACATTCTGCAGACGATTCCGCTGCTGGTGGTGGAGACGCGCAAGGAGGTGGACGAGGTGAAGGAGCTGCTGGGTATCTCCAAGGAGTACACGCTCGCACTGCGCATCGAGCTCAAGAGGAAGGAGACCCGTGACAACCCCATTCGCCAGGTCAGACCGTCCCTGCCTGCCTCTGATGTTGCTTCTCTTCTTTATTTCATCTGGAACTCCTCTCTATCCACCAGGTTTAAGCCAATGCTGTTGTGTAAATGAAATTCCTTTGGAAACGTGCATTTTTGTTACTGCTCCTCTTGCGACATATGCCCTTTCTGTGCTGCTCGCTTCTTTGCTTTCTGTAGTGGCACACCAATGCTTCCTAGTAGATGTTCAAGCGATGCTCGCTACGCATGAATCGCGAGGTGGTAGATACAGCATCAATTTTCTCATCTTCTCCACTTGGTGCATGCATGGACATGTGTTTCTTGTGTGCACGTGTGTGCTCTTGTGTGCATGAGTGCATGTGTGCGTGCATGTTTGCTTGGGTGCACATGTGTGCCTGCGTGCATCTGTGTGCTTGTGTGCGCATGCCCTGCCCGTTATGTGTGATGTGCACTGTGCACTGATGCCCATGCCTTCTCTTTCCGAGGGCAACCCTCTGCATGGGAATGCACACCCCTCCCCTCCATCCTTCCCACCCCTCTCCCCCATCGCTCTCCTCTCTCTTTCTAGGCCGAGCTGGCAGCCTACTTCACACACTGCAAGCTGCAACCCGCCCACCTGAAGCTCAGTCTCCAGGCGGCCATGGCAGCAGGCTTCAAGCTGAAGCTCTTCGCCACGACTGCCAGCATCTGCCGCCGGCTGCTGGAGCTGAACCCCACTGCGGGCGTGGCCACCAAGGTGCGCAAGATCCTGGCGGAGTGCGAGAAGACCCCCCGCGACGAGCAGCAGCTCAACTACGATCCCCGCAACCCCTTTGTGGTGTGCGGGTCCACGTTCGTGCCCATCTACCGCGGCAGCAGAGACTCCTTCTGCCCCTACTGCGGGGCGCGCTTCGTGCCGGAGATGGCTGGGTCGGTGTGCGCGGTGTGTGACCTGGCAGTGGTGGGCGCGGATGCGTCGGGGCTGGTGTGCTCCATGAGCCAGATCCGATGAGCGGGCCCTTGCTGTGCGGTGCTGTCGGTGTGGGTGGATTGGAGGAGCAGGGGGCGTGGCTGGTAGTGATGGTGCGAGTTGTGCCTTGGACCTAGGCTGGCCGACTGGCAGTGCTGTGCTGTTTTTGTCAGGTCTGGTGGTACTGCTGTTGCTTGCACGTTGCTGCTGGTACTGTCTTCTCCCTAAACCGCTGCATCTGGTCTGGTGGTCCCCCTTTTCCCTCTCCATCCCAACTCGGCTTCCTATCCCCCCTTTCCATGCCCCAGCCTCATCTTTCTGTGACCTTTCTCTCTCCCCCCACTGAGCCATGTTGCTGTCCGTGCCTCTTGCATGGGGTAGCTGTTGCTGCCACTATATACGGTCTCATACCATGCTGTCTTGTAGGTACGATTTGACACTGGGCAAGGATATCATCTTTTGTTAACTGTTTTCTAGAGTGTTGTGTGCAAACGAAAGAAAATGTGCACCAGATGAGAGCTGAGGGCGTGTCCTCAGAGGATGCCCGAACTGTGAGTAAGGGGAGTAGCGTTTCAATAGGATGGGATAACTCCGCGAACCGGTTACTACCGAGCAGGGCCCTAGATTGGTTTTGAGGCTTCCTGATCCATCAGGATTCTCCCTTCAAAAAATTCTGAATTTTCAGGGTCCCCCAAAATAAAATCCTGAGCCATCAGAATTACTTTAAAAAAAAATCCTGATTTCTCAAAGTTTATAGACATGTTTTAGTTTATGGATTATGTGTGTTCAAGTCTTGATTGTTGAGGGTGCTAGGAATTCGTAGCGAATTCTTGCGCGTTGGGCGAGATTGGGGGATGGGCAGGAATCGACAATTGGTGGGGGGGAGAGGGGGGAGGGCTGAGTAGGGGGGGGGGAGGCGACGAGATTGCAGGGCGGAGGGAACCTCTTCCCTCGCAGAGCCTCAGAACCCATGCTCGATACAAGTCCGAAATTTCAGGATACCTTACAAAAAAAAACTGAGCTAACAGATATCCCTTACAAAAAAACCCTGAAATTTCAGGAAATGCCAAAAACAAAACCCTAGCAAATCAGGACTGGTACCCCTCAACACCCTGTTTTTTTCCTGAATCAGGAAAATTTTCCTGACTTCTGGGGGCCTGCTACCGAGGTAGAGTATCTGACTTAGTATCTGTCATTTAGAAGGCGGTCTAGAAAGTACCTGCTGCTGAGTCAGCAGCAAGCATCCCTTGTACCACTGCAGGAGAGCCAGGTCAAAGTGTTAGACTAGCAGAATGAAGGGTTTTTAGTTGTTTGGTTACTGTTACTTGGACCCTGTGCACTGTATTCACGGTTAGCGCACCCGGAGGAGCGTTTCTCAAGTGTAACACTACACTCGAGAAAAGTCGTATCGGGTACGCGAGTCAACGGAGGTTACACGAAGAGGTTGAACGAAAAAACACCCAAGGACGAAGGGACTCGAAGGATCGCAACCAGGGCCTACTTTTGGATTTTTACTACTCTGATATTGGGGAGTGGCATTTCGCATTACTCTGAAAATCAGAGTGCATCCTCACAGTTTCTCTGATTTGCCAGGGTTTTTTTCCATTTTGAAAATTTTACATTGATAGTGCAGAGGGGAAATTTCCACAACTCTGTGCTCCTGTTGTGCACCCCGACAAAGGTTGCGGGGATTTTGTGGTTGGTCCGATCCGATAGACGTACGTTTCATTTCAAATACACATACATACATTAGTCACCATGCTCATCCTCGTCTCCCTCTGAGGCACTCTCACAAGAGCCGCTGTCCTCCTCTGACTCATCGGACTCATCATGCTCCTTGCCCTTGGCAGCATCGCTGCTCCTCTCATAAGCCACTACTTTTGCCTGTCTACGGTTCTTCTGGCGTCTCCAGATCTCCACGAACTCAGGGTAGTCCATATCGTACTCCAGGAGGCTTATGGTCATCAGGTCGCCGAGTCTTGCATCACACAGGCTCGTCCTCAGCCAGCTCTTGACAGCGTTCTGCCTGCTGAAACCGCGCTCGCACTCGACGGTGCTCAAGGGCAGAACCGCCATCGCCTGCCAGATCCTCATGAGATTCGGATAGCTCTTGGCCCAGTCCCTCGTCTTCAGCATGTTGGCGAGGCCTTGGCCGAAGTCGTCATCAGCACGGTGCGTCTTCATGATGTGACAGAAAGTCTTTAACTCCAGCTCAGCTGCTCGACCATCCACTCCTGTGGAAGCGCTCGAGCGGGAATCGAGACATGGAAAGCGAAAACATCGATTAAGAACTATGGTGGTGTTGCCACCGTTTTCCAAAACATGGATACTTGGATCTGCATATAGCGAGACGACATTGTGAGTGCTAGGGATACGTGCATGGAGGGACCGAAAACATACATACCAGGAAGCTTGTTGTCAAACAGCTCCAGGTTCGACTTGACCCAAGTGCGCGCTCTTCGTTCCCGCAATTCCTGCTTCTTCGGCCATGTGTCCACCTTGTACAGCTTCGACCCGGCCATCCGCTTTAGGTCCCACATCCTCTGGTTCAGGTTCTGCACGGTGTCTTCAGCAAAGGCGGTACACAGCGTGATGCAGGCCGCCTTGGTGCCACCGTACTTGTGACCGGGCAGGGAGCTCTCCACGAGCTTGAAACTGTGGGAAACCGGGCGTCCGTCGTCATCCGCGCCGTGCACCACCACCTTGCCTTCATTCTCGTCATAGCTCTGCAGAAACTTGCTAAGCCGCTTGCTCAGCCCCTCGCCGAAGGTCTCGCCATACTCCACGTAGCGATGCTTGATGTACGTGACGGTGCGGTCGACCTCCTGCGAGACAAGGGTGATGTCGACCTGATGTGAGGGGGGGGTAATAAAAGCATTGACAAGATGCGAAGAAGATAAGTTATTGTCGAAATTAAAGAAAGTCCACAATCCAACACATGACAACAGGCCACCGACGGCATGAAACACAGAGACCAACGGGATATGGGATAAAAACATACCGACCGCTTCTGGAAAAACCTGTTGAGCGTGTTGAGCTCAGCAAGGATGTCAGCCAGGAAGTACAGACAGAAGTGGAACTTGAGCTTTTTGACCACTGGAACCAGCTTGTGGTTGTACTCGATGAGCACAGCGATTACAGCGCCGAGGACCCTGCAGAGTCGATTTACGGCATCTCCACGAGAAAGCCACAGGATGTTGAAGAGCCCCTGGTGCTCGAGGTTCGTGTTGTGGATGATCAGCTGGAGCTCCTTGAACCTCTCGTACCACGGTGTTGAACGCCCAACAATCTCGCCAAAGCCACGGATGACGATGTCGATGATCCAGAGGTCGGGGAAGGCGCTGGCTGCATCCTTCACTGCAAGGGCCTCACTGCGAGATACGAAGAATCATGCAAGGTCGAGCAGGTAGCATGGATAAAAAATAGTCCGACATGCATTGCATGCGAGGAAACAGACTCAATCCGTCGGGGCTGCAAGGGGGAAGACAAGTGTGGCTCAACCTGCATGAGCTCACCGATGTGCAATACAGTGACAGCCAACGAGATGCGGAATGCGCACCCGAAGACGCGCTACCAGACCGTTGTGCTCTCCAGTCATGACAGACGCCCCATCCGTGCTGATGCCCGCCACCTTGTGAAGTTCTATGCCGCAAGAGTCTAGGTGCCCGAGTAATGCCGTCTGCAGAGCTGCTGCGTCGCACTTGTCGAGAGTAAGCAGCGTCAGGAACTCTGTGACGACTCGCCGCTTCTTCAGGAACGTCGCGAAGACGATGAGATGTTTGCCACGGGTTCTGTCAGTTGACTCGTCGCAGCTCAATCCGATGAAGGGTGATGCGTGGATATGCTGCATCTGCTGTGCTTTCAAGTACGCCACCATTGCGCGCACCATTTCCTTGAAGCCGTATCTGCACTTGGAAGGGCATGGAAAAGCCGGAATTTAGTCGATGATTGATACGACAGCGGAGCAGTCGCAATTTCACCAAGAAAGAGTACCAAAAATCATGAGCCACCCCGATACTTACTGCGTGATGTAGACGCCATAAGTCTGCTTCGGAATGTCCTTGACACCCTCCTCTGCCATGAACCCAACGAGCCGCGTGAACATGGCGATCGGGGCATCCTCCTTGCATATGAACGGCATAGTTCGAAGTAGACGAATGATCCTCGCGCCGTCAGGGTCGTGCTTCCCGAAGTCCTCCATTTTCTTCTGATTATCGACCTCCTTCAGCAGCGCCTCTTGCTTCCTGACGGCGTTCTCGTGCCTTGTGCTCTCCTCATGCCAACGCATCGAGCCAATCTGGAGATCCCGTCCACCAGCACCGTTGCGCCCGTATCGTGCGTGGTCTTTGCCGTGCTCCATGCAGATACTGCAACGCAAGCAAGGTGCACCATCGTTAGTCTTATCCAGCACTAGCCAGGGGAATTTCGGTAACCAGTCGGCAGTGTACTTCCGTCGCGCGGCAAGATAGGCCTTTGCCATCTTCTCGGCGGGGGTTAAAGCAGCCGAAGGCAGTTGCTGTGGCACGCGCTCTGGCTCTGGTGGTGGCGGAGACTTAGGGGGAGGCGGCGCGAATGGGAGATAAGTCTCGTTGAAGCGACGCTTCTTTTCCGAGGCGGACGCAGGAGTTGAGGCAGGAGTTGATGCCGTTGATGTGGACGCTGGAGTTGATGCAGAGACAACAGGTACAACTGAAGGTTCGGCGACAGGACCAGCGTCAACCATAGCCTCCAAATTTCTGTCCCATTCCTCACTACTGAGAGAAGGCAGAGGCTGTGGCTCAACTGGAGCGGTAGCAACTCGACGGAGAAAGTCGAGCCCGCTAAGAGGGAGCAATCTAGGAGTTCGCAGATGGACAGACTCGTCGCCACCGCCATCGTCGGGCTCACTCGTGCCAGCCATGACGGCAGTGGCACGAGTGATGACGGGCGGCAGCGACGGCGAAGGTAAGCGGAGGTTTTCTTCTGCTAGGACGTTGTGAGAGATAGATTTGGTGAAGGGGAGGAAGGGAAGGTTGAACAAGACGAGGGTTTCGTCTGCTCTTCTTGGGGGTGAGTGAATTGTGGGGCGCCTCGGAGTGGGTGAGGGAGTGACGTCGGTCGTGCATGCATGGATGGTGGCTAAGGTCGGCGTGCGGTGGTGAGGGAACTGCTGCCAGCCTTGCAGTGATGCTGCAATCGTGACCAATCAGCGCGAAGGATGCTGCCAGCAGTGGCAAGGATGGCAGCATATGACGTGCCACTGTCTGGCGGTACGCGTAAAATGATGCGTATTGCGGGATATTGGGGCAAGGCCAGGTACAGGGTACATGGGAAATCTACAGGTATACCCCCTGTACACTAACCCTCAGAGGGGTACAAATAGTTACTCTGATATAATCAGAGTAAAATAAAACATCAATTTTTTTACTCAGGGCACCTAGAGTAGTTTTCAAAAACGACTCTGATTTTCAGAGAAACATAGTAAATTACTCTGATAAAATAGGCCCTGATCGCAACCGGAGGTTGCGATTGACCGTTGCGATTGCAAGGATGGTAACCGAACAGACAATCGAGTCGCTGTGCGACTCGATAACTGTTTCTTCAACTGTATTCTACAACTGCTTTACTTCTTATTTTCTATATATGGCTGTATGCTTGTTCCTTCTAGTTAATCACTTGCTCTCGCATACTAGTGCAAGGGTTCAACTACTCAA